TATACCTCTGTATCCATGGGCAAGCCACTTCACATCTAAGTTTTCATTTCTGCATCCGTAATATGGATTCACCAATATTTGCTTCCTAGACTTGCTCTGAGAATGGAACTGGGTAGCACATGTGTAAGGTCTACATAGAACCTGGCTTATAGGAGAGCACACATTCTATTCCTTTCCAAACTCAATCCTCTCAAAATAGGATCAGGACGATTTCCCATCAACCCAGCAAGCCCCATACGACGTGCTGATTTAGCCATTGTACACAAGGATGGTCCTGAAAGCCCACCTCTGTTTGTCTCTCCCTGTGCATAGGCCATAGATGAGGATGCAGAGGAACCCAACAACCTGGTGGACTATTCCATCACCCATGCAGAGCCGGCCAATGTGTTTGATATCGATGCCCACACGGGGGAGATCTGGCTCAAGAATTCCATCCGCTCCCTGGATGCCCTGCACAACATCACACCCGGGAGGGACTGCATATGGTCCCTAGAGGTACAGGCCAAGGACCGGGGCTCCCCATCCTTCAGCACCACAGCCTTACTCAAGATTGACATCACAGATGCTGAGGTGAGTGCAAAGCCATGGTCAGGAAAAAGGGGTCAGAGGGCCAGCTCAGGCCTCTTTGCAACGTGGGCAAAGCGATAAGTACCATCTCCAGGCTTCCTCCGAAAGACACTCAATGGGCTGGGCGTGGTGGCTCACGCCTGTAATCTCATTATGTTGGGAGGCCGAGGCAGGTGGATCACGAGGTCAAGAGATCGAGACCATCCTGGCCAACATGGTGAAACCCCGTCTCTACTAAAAATACAAAAATTAGCCGGGCGTTTGGCACGTGCCTGTAGTCCCAGCTACTTGGAAGGCTGAGGCGGAGGAATTGCTTGAACCCGGGAGGCAGAGGTTGCAGTGAGTCGAGATTACACCACTGTGCTCCAGCCTGGCAACAGAGCAAGACTCCGTCTCAAAAAAAAAAAAAAAAAAAAAAAAGGAAAGAAAATTAGACAGTATATATTTGGCCAGGCACGGTGGCTCACGCCTGTAATCCTAGCACGTTGGGAGGCTGAGGTAGGTGGACCACCTGAGGTCAGGAGTTCAAGACCAGCCTGGCTATCATGGTGAAATCCCATCTTAAAAAAGAAAAGAAAAGAAAAAAAAGATATTTAATGTTATCAAAGTCAGCCTGTGCCATCAAACATACAGGCTTTGGAATGGAGGTTGAGTTTCTAGTTCAATACTTATTAATGGTGTGACTTTAGGCTTTGCTAAGCCTCTGTTACCTTTCCTATAAAATGGAAATAATGATGCCTCCTTCACATGGGTGTTGAAAAGCAGAGTGAATTCATTATGTGTAGCTCTCAGCTCAGTGTCTAACAGTAAAGTAGTCACTTCAGAGGTTCCTGATATATCTGGGCAGACGGACCCCCCACTCCTTGCCACAATCAAAGGCAGGTAATCTCCTACTCTCTCAAGGACAGAGTCCAGCTAAAGCCAGAGTTCTGAATCCAAATGAGGTTGTTTGCACGTGCTGTCTGAGCACATTGTACTAGAGACTGGTCTGCACCATGCTGTCTCTGCATGCATTTTTCTGGAGAGCTGCATGCATCATACTCTCTCTGTATGCATTTTCCTGAACAAAAGCCCAAGTGCATAGTGCCTATCAGATTCTCAAAGGGACTCCTGACTCCAGAAAGCTTGAAAACCATTAGGTTTAAGGAAGCACATGCCCTACTCTGGACTTCAGTGACCAGGTGGGAACAGCTGAGGGCAGGGGGTGGTTCTCTCTTTCAGACCCTCTCCCGGAGCCCCATGGCTGCCTTCCTGATACAGACCAAGGACAACCCCATGAAGGCCGTGGGTGTGCTGGCCGGCACCATGGCCACCGTCGTGGCCATCACTGTCCTCATCTCCACCGCCACCTTCTGGCGCAACAAGAAGTCTAACAAGGTCCTGCCAGTGCGACGGGTGGTCCGCAAGCGGTCCACCCCTGCGCCCCGCACCATCCGCATTGAGTGGCTCAAGTCCAAGAGCGCCAAAGCTGCTACCAAGTTAGTGCTCAAAGAGAAACCTCCCAATGAGAACTGCAACAACAACAGCCCAGAAAGCTCCCTGCTCCCAAAAGCTCCAGCTCTCCCTCCACCTCCCAGCATGGCGCCCAGCACGGGCGCAGCCCACTGGACCGTGCCTACTGTCTCTGGCTCTCTCACCCCCCAGCAGTCCCAACCACCACCAAACCCCAAAACTATGGGGAGCCCTGTCCAGTCGACTCTGATTTCTGAGCTCAAGCAAAAGTTTGAAAAGAAGAGTATGCACAGCAAGGCTTACTTCTAGTGTGTGTGCTATGGTCTGCCCTCCTTCCTCCCCTCGACCCCGACCACGCTGCTGCTCCATGCTCTCCTTCCTCTTTTCCTTAAAGTCACACCTGTTTTGTACAATGGTGTAACTCCCATATACAGGGCTCCGGTCAGGGCCTTGGGCAAGACATTGCTTGGGCTATAGGATGCAATTGGCGAATACTTCCCCATTACTCAAATCCTTGGCATTACTACAATGCCCCCCATTCTTCAGGGCTGGGAATTGACAAGAAGGCAGCTCTATGTGTCTTCTATTCACCAACCCTGGACCTCACAGTCCCCAGATCCTACTGGGATCCCATCATCCTTAGTCAAGCAGCAGGTTCCTGGCCACAGGGAACAAAGCTGACAAGAATTTGGATCCCGATGCCTGCAGCTGAGAGCAGAAGCAGGAAAAGGAGGCTCAGCACTGTCTCAGGCTGCAGGTCAGCAAACCTCTTGGGCTGTAGGAAAACAAATGTAATTAAGGGGAGGGCAGAGATGCACTGAAAACACACTGACTTCAGGACTGTGCCGGGATGCCTTTGGAAAGAGAGCATTCTGTCTGGGCAAAGACTGTGGGCCCTGGTATGCCCACATGGGACCAGGGACACAGAGGTGGAAGACGGACCCTGCCAAGATTGAGGGCAGATGTCTCCAGCCAGGACTGCCCTGAGTCCAGAAATGTCAACGCTGGAGTTATAGAGGTAGCCCTAAAGGCATCCAGAGGAGCATCAGGGCCCCTTTCTGAGGAACTGCCCCACCAGCCATCCTCAAAGAGACAACTCAGGGCCGTAGATGAATGTCAGGGCTGAGATGACTTCCTTTCTTATCCAGCTCTTCTGCTCACATCGTATCACCTTGGGAAAGCTGTTTAAACTAACTGATCATCCTCTTCCTCATCTGTAAATGAAGAAATGTATTCTAGAGGGATTGTTAGTGAGTCCTGTCTGCCTCAATTGTAGGTCTGGGGTGAGGACTGAGGAATATAATGGTGATGAGGGCTTTAACCAAGTGCAAAGCAGCATGAATGCGAAGTATTTTTCTGCAGCCCAGTTCTCTAGGTGCAGCTCTTCCAGAAGGTCTTAGGAGCCTCACAGCTACTCTGCCAAGCACCCCAGGAGGCACTGCTGGGCTTAGGGGGCTACCATTGGATGACGGCATTGCCATGACTCATATACCTCTCCTGCCGTTCTTCCGTTACCCATTGCCACTGCGGTCCTGGCCAGCTACCATCAGAGAGAACCAGAGTTCCAATTTGTCATGATGAAGGAAATGAGTTCCCAAGAGAGGAATGATTTGCCTGAGGCCAGACAGGAGGTTGGTAGGAAGGATCTGGTCTAGCCAGGGCAGACGTCAGCTTGTGACAAGCTTCCCTAGGAGAGAAGTTATACAAGGCCTCTGGGGTTAATACAAACAGGTTGTGCCTTGCTTTAAGGAACCTGTTATCAGGAAATCTCGATGTGTGCACAGAGAGGGAAAAGTAGAACGGTTCTTGGCATTTGACTCCACTCACTAACAGCCCCTCTAGAATACATTGGTGATTTTATTTAAAGAGACTGTATGCACATGTGGCTCTCCTGATTTCTGAGTCTGTGTTTGGAGGTGTTACTGAGGTATGCCAGTGTGCAGAATCCTTGCTGGGACTTCTGCAGTCCCTGACTTGAACAGTATTAAGCAAGAGATGGACTCTAGCTATCCAGGAGCCCAGACTGAGCAAACAGCTACTTTCCAGCCTGTGTTTCAGGAGAGGGCTGTACTGGATAGTGCTTGACCTCCACAGGAAATACAGCATCCCTACGACTTGCATGCAATCAACCTCTTTTGTAAAATGGTAAATAAAATCTGTTACCCAAAGGCCATGCTGATCCCCTGCTCCCTGCTTTCATTTGTGTTTGCTGACCTGTGGAGACCAGTCTTCCTGACACACAGCCAAGTTCAACTTGCCTCCTGGCTTCTTCAGCGGGTAGATCCATTCTTTGACCCCCAGATCTGACTCTAAAGGAGGCTGAAAAATTTTGTCCAAATTGCCATGCATATACCTTGAACAGCAGGACATTTGCAGGCCTTGTCTACTGGGCTTTTCTCCCAAATGGGACAAGCTCAGGCAGGGCTTCTTGGAGAGGAATGGAACCTGGAGCTAGAATCAATTACACACTCACCTACTTACCAGTGCAGCCCAGCAATGGCAGGAATTGGGAGGCCTAGGGTGGGCATGAAAGCTTGGGAAGCACTGTTGTCTCTCAGATAGGGGTCATAAAGATCTCTGAGCTGGAAGCTCAGACTAGCAAGTGGACCCTGGGCCAAGGGCGAGCTCTTGGACAAGCTCAGGAACTTGAACCTGAGAGCCAATCTTGCAAACTGTCCATGGATGGGGAAGTGCCCAGTAGCCAGCATGAGCCACACTGGGAAAGAGGAGGAGGGTGCAGCCAGACCTAAGAGACCGGCAAGTGTGGTCAGCGCTGGAGGAGACCCCGCCATTGGGGTGGAGCCAGCCAAGTCCCTGTGTTAAGAATGGTGGGCCAAGGAGCTGCCTACTCAGTCCAAGTGAGACAGGTGGAGCTTCAAGCTGGCACCATGATAGGCCTCCAGGGAAAGAGCTGGGAGGCAGGAATGGCATGCTGGGCCGGCTTGCCCATTCCTGGCCCTAAGAATGCAGCTATAGGGCTTTGGTCGGAGTGTCAGGCTCCGGGAAGCGGCAGCAGCGGCACGGAGGACTTGGGGTCTGGTGTCCGGAACAACCATGGCTGGCGCGCTGGTGCGGAAAGCGGCCGACTATGTCCGAAGCAAGGATTTCCGGGACTACCTCATGAGTACGCACTTCTGGGGCCCAGTAGCCAACTGGGGTCTTCCCATTGCTGCCATCAATGACATGAAAAAGTCTCCAGAGATTATCAGCGGACGCATGACATTTGCCCTCTGTTGCTATTCTTTGACATTCATGAGATTTGCCTACAAGGTACAGCCTCGGAACTGGCTTCTGTTTGCATGCCACGCAACAAATGAAGTAGCCCAGCTCATCCAGGGAGGGCGGCTTATCAAACATGAGATGAGTAAAAAGGCATCTGCATAACAACGGAAAATGAAGAGCAAACTCTTGAAGGGACAGCATTGCCAGCTGCTGCTGAGTCACAGATTTCATTATAAATAGCCTCACTAAGGAAAATATGCTGAATGCTATTTTTACTAGCCATTCTATTTTTATAGAAATAGCTGAGAGTCTCTTAACCAACTCTCTGCTGCCTTACAAGTACTAAATATTTTACTTCTTTCCATAAAGAGTAGCTCAAAATATGCAATTTAATAATTTCTGATGATGGTTTTATCTGCAGTAACATGTATATTATTATCTATTAGAATTTACTTAATGAAAAACTGAAGAGAACAAAATTTGTAACTACTAGTACTTAAGTACTCCTACTTCTTGACATTGTCTTTAATGACCACAAGACAACCAACAGCTGGCCACATACCTAAAATCTCTTCCCCACTGTTTAAAAATGTTATCTGTGTATTTCCATGCAGTGTGTATATTGAGATGCTGTAACTTAAGGCAATAAAAGATTTAAATATTTGTTAAATGAGCATGATTAAATATCTTGCTGCGTTCCCTAGGAAACTGAAGAACAATGTATCTGAAAAGACAATTATAGGTGAAAATGGAACTCCTTGAAAACTATGAAGATGGCTGGAGGAAATGCAGAGCTGGAAGGCCAGTGTTTTCTGGAAAGCATCGACAGTCCAACTATGCAGAACCTATTCTTACGGGCAAGTGTTACTAATAGAAACGCCCCTCAGTCACTGAGACTCAGGCCAGTCATGTGAGTGTTCTGGGCTTCTCTTTCCCTATCTGTAAAATGTTGCAGAGGCGATTTCTGTGGTGATCTAAGAATTGTGCTGCTTTCCACAGAAAGCTGTTGAGATTGCAGTCCCACAGGAATGGGCTGATCATGGGGCCCAGCGCGGCACTGGTGCTCAGTTGAAGGAACCAACTTCCAAGGGAGGGATGAAGCTGTTAACTAGGAGCTGCTCCAGAGGTCTGACCGAATGACTGAAAGCATCCTAAGAGCACAGTCCTGACTTATTTCAGATTATGCAGTTAAGTTAGCTTTCTAAAAAAATGCAGCCGAGTGCGTTGGCTCACACATCTAATCGCAGCACTTTGTGAGGCCAAGGCAGGCAGATCACTTGCAGTCAGGAGTTCGAGACCAGCCTGGCCAACATGCTGAAGCCCCATCTCTACTAAAAGTGCAAAAATTAGCCAGGTGTGGTGGCAGGTGCCTGTAATCCCAGGTCCTTGGGAGGCTTAGGCAGGAGAAGGGCTTGAACCCAAGAGGTGGAGGTTGCAGTGAGCCGAGATTGCACCACTGCGCTCCAGCCTGGGGGACAAGAGGAAGACTTGTCTAAAAAAAAAATCCAACTTGAATCTGAATAGTTTCCTTCTCTGTATTGTAGCCGATGAGAGCAGCAGAGCAGCCCACGCTGAGCAGAGGGGAGGTCCGTGAGGCACAGTCTCCCTCAGGAGTCTACATTCTGTCACTTTTGGGGTTTGTTTTTGTTTTTTTGAGACAGGGTTTAACTCTGTGGCCCAGGTTGGAGTGCAGTGGCGCAATCACAGCTCACTACAACCTCCACCTTCTGGGTTCAGGTGATTCTCCTGCCTCAGCCTCCCNAAAAAAAAAAAAAAAAGAATGCAGCTATAGCCCCATGGACAATAAGTAGATGTGACTCCAGAGTCCTCCTGCAGCTGAGCTCAGATCTTCTAATCACATGGAATAACAATGCTTTACAGTTGACAGCCCTAGATCTGAATTCTGGTCCTGCCATTAAGTGTGACTTTGGACAAGAGGTCAAGTCTCTCTGGGCCTCACTTTCCTCACTAATACAGGGTGCAAAATATGGTTGCAGAGAGGATGATAAGAGCTAATATATGTAAAGTGCCTAGCACTGGCTTTGTATCTACTTACACAAGCTCAGTAGACTGTAACTGTGGCCCACATACTAGAGCACTGTGTCCTGAAAGAGAGGACCCCCTCCATGCATTCTCACCCCCAGAATGTTTCCACCCAACCTATAGATCCAGAAGCTCTTACTTCATGCTAGGAGAAGAGAGAAGGTTGGGTCTGGAGGGAAGTGAAGGACAGGGTGGATGCCACAGCATCTGTGACCTGTGCAGCTGGCAGCCTGCATTTGGGCGTTGACATTCCAGGGGATTTGGGAACAATGAAATGTCCCAAAGAACTTGTAGAACTCTGTCCTCAAGCAGCTCTCCCTCAGAATCCAGCTGGAAAAGTGTGTTCGGAGTTGGGGCGACGTCACCATGCTCTGTTTCTCTAAGGATTTTGGCGATTCCGTCTTTAGGGACTGAAGTCTTTGAAGGAATCCAAGGCCAGTCCACCTGCCAGGGGTGTTGGCATCTGTTGACAGGTGCAACAAAGATATGGAGAGGAAGAATGGAGAAGATGCCACATGAGGAATGAGGCAGGAGACTGGCATGTGCCACGTGGAGGACCCCTTAGGAGACTCACATACAACCTGGGGAGGGGTTCTCTGAAGGGCCTAGTTTCCAGAATGAGGTGATCATGGCCTAGGCTACCATAATTTGATCAATAAGGCAGAGTAGAAACAGGCTGATGTTGGAGACATTGGTTTGATGTTATGAAATGGTGCACATGACCAGGCGTGGTGGCTCATGCCTGTAATGCCAGCACTTTGGGAGGCTGAGGCAGGCGGATCATGGGGTCAAGAGATCGAGACTATCCTGGCCAATATGGTGAAACCCTGTCCCTATTAAAAATACAAAAATTAGCTAGGCATGGTGGCACATGCCTGTAGTCCCACTACTCGGAAGGCTGAGGCAGGAGAATTGCTTGAACCTGGGAGGCGGAGGTTGCATTGAGCCACTATCACACCACTGCACTCCAGCCTGGCGACAGAGCGAGACTCCATCTCGAAAAAAATTGTGCACGTGCACCTCTTTTGAGGTCTGAATGAGGTTTGGTTATTTAATAATCTCTCAATAATTTACTCAGCCATTCTTAGGGTGACACATTTAGAGTACATCATCTGTGCCAGACTATCCTCTAGGTGTTAGATGTACAGATTCTAGCAAAATAGAAGAAAATATAAAAAGAACAAAATTCCTCTCTTAAATTGATAATCACCTGGGACTAGAGAGGCTTCATTTTAAAAGCAAGTAGCCCTGCTTATAGATGTCTCCTCAACCAAAGGCATTTGCCTTAAACTTGCATGGTCTAAGCTCTAAATAAATAAGCTTCTCAGGGATATAACAACTAAATCTGAAACGGTAGCATCTTTTCAACATGAATTAAACAGAACACGTGAAGGATATTAGCCTAGATGTCATGTCATTACATATATATATATACACACACATGTGTAGCCCTAATAAGATCTAATATCTTATGGTCCTGTCTATATTCTGAGTCACATTTAAAGAAAGCACAAACTGACTGAGATGCTTGAAATGATGGTAACATTTATTATTGTTACATTTACTGAGGGTTTACTACGTGCCAGATATTGGTCTAAGAACTTTACCTGTAAAAAAAGCCTTGTATAATCATGAGAATAATCCTATGAGGTAGGTACTGTTATTATCCCCATTTTACAGGTGAGAAAACTAAGGTACTATTATTACCGTATTTTATAGGTGAGAAGACTAAGGTACATGAAAAGAGAGTAACTTCCCTGATGTAACAAAGCCAATAAGAAATAAAGCCAAAATTTAAGCCTAAGAAACCAGATTCCAGCCAGGGTCTATTCTTGTATCCCCACTGTCAAATTGCCTTACTCAATCTGAGTAACATGAATCTTTACTCTAGGGTTTTTCAAGGGGCAGCCCAAGCATCTTAAAAAGTATCAGATTCTCAGAAATCCTCCCTAGACCATTTCCCTCTCCCTAAATTTCCATGTTTACAGAAGCAGCTAAACACTGCCCTGCCCACCAACGTGTTCCTGGCTCTCCCCCTGCACTGCTTGCTCCTCTTGCACAGCCCTTCTCTCGTCCTGACGCCGCTCTCTCACATGCACCACCAAGCTTCTTTTGCTTGGTGTAAAGGTCTGAACATCCACTCTTACCTTCATGGTAGCCCAGGCCGTTTCATGATGGCTGCACCCTCAAGTTCCAAAGGCCACTGTATTAGTCCGTTCTCATGCTGTTAATAATGACATGCCTGAGATTGGATAATTTACACAGGAAAGAGGATTAATTGACTCAGTTCAGCATGGCTGGAGAAGACTCAGGAAACATACAATCATGGTGGAAGGGGAAGCAAACATGTCCTTCTCTGCATGGCAGCAGGAGAGAGAAGAATGAGAATCGAGTGAAGGGGGAAGCCCCTTATAAAACCATCAGATCTTGTGCGAACTTACTCACTATCATGAGAACGATGGCATGGGGGAAACTGCCCACATGATTCAATTACCTCCTACCAGATCCCTCCCATAACATATGGAGATTATGGAAATTACAATTGGAGATGAGATTTGGGCAGGGACACAGTCAAACCATATCAACCCCCTTTGATGCTATGGAAGGAAGCATACAGAGGCCAAGAGAAGTGTAAGTTCTTTTCTTGCTCCAACCACTTTTCTTAAAAAATTTATCATAGGAAATTCCACATAAATAAATTATCTGCCACATTACATGTATGTGTGTATTTTATACATTGTGCATATCTAAATATATATGTCCCAATAATTTTTAAATATATGTTCTTATGAGTGATAATAACATTGTGGTTATGCTTTTTAAAACTTCATTTGTTAGACCTCAAACTAAAACATTTACAGGTAAACTGGTGTGAAGCTTTGTATTTGTTTTAAAACACTCCAGTTAAAAAACAAATGTTGAGGGCAAGGACAAGATGAAATAAGCCTGGAAAACATTAAAACTTGGTGAAGCTGATGGAAGAGGAGGGATGAAATTTGCTCTGCTTTTGGCAAGGCTAAAAATTTTTATTTAAAAGTGATTTTGGCCAGGTGTAATACCAGCTACTTGGGAGACAGAGATGGGAGGATGGCTTGAGGTCGGGAGTTTGGTACCAGCCTGGGCAACATAGTGAGACCCTGTCCCTAATTTTTTTTTTTTTTTTAATTTGGAGGGTTTTTTTTTCTAATGCCCAGAAGAAAATAAATGAGTAGAACCTGAAGAAATGAGTAGACAATTGGTCTGAACATGAGAACTGTCTTCAATTTAAAAAAATTTTATTGTAACTAACATTTATTATGAGCACAAATCAGGTATTAGACAAGTGCAGTGGCCACAGTGAGGAAGGTCAGTCTCTGCCTGCAAAGGTCTCACAACCAATGACACACTGTGTATGTTGTTCTTCTCCACAGAGGTGTGAAGTCAAGGCAGGCTCTGTGGAAGACGTAATGTACACACTTGAGAGGGGCCTAAAAGGATCGTTAGGAACGAGTAAGGAAGGTGTGAAGATGTCACAATGAGGCTAGCTCATGTTTACACTCTTCAAAACGTTTCCATGTGGCCAGTGAGGGAAACTGCAGGAAGATAGATGTGGATTAAATCCTAGGAATGCTCTCCCCTAGAAGGGCTGTCCAGAGGGACGATGAGTTGATGCTGGGATTCCTGGGGCCCCTCCATTCCACATGAGTCCACCTAAGAGGAAATGACCACCTCTCAGGGATTTCCTAGGAGGGCTTGAGACATTGACTAAGGGAAAGTGGTGGATATATGGATGCTATTCCTTCTGGGTATGGCCCTGCAGACTCTGCTCTCTGCCAGACCCAGGGCTGCAGCCGATCCTCTGCTCCTCCTCGGTGGAAATGGCTCCAGCCTTCCCAGTTGCACCAAGGACCTCTCACCGGGGAACAGATACCCACAAAAAGAGACTCACATCACCCAACAGCTCTCATCACCCTGAAGGGAAGCTCTTTGGAATCTCACATTTATGTGATCTCATTAGGAGTTTGTCATGAAGAGAGAGGGTCACACTTTCTAAACAATGAAAGACACAAGAATACTGCAAAACAGACATTCAAGGAAACAATGGAATTGGAACCTCTTTTGAGTAGGGCTTCTGCCTCCTGCCAGATGCGGACTCTGGGCGTGTCATTGAACTGTCCAGGCTGCAGTTGCTTCACCTACAAAAAGTAGGTAGAAGTCTACCTTTGTTTGCAGGATAACATAGGTAAAATGTTATATGTAGACGTTACGTATAAACATGTAAATGTTATAAGGCTATGTATATGCAAAGAGTAACATATAGTAATTTCTAATCACCATGTATAATAAAATGATTAATTTGATAGGACAAATCTTCATGGACCTTAACTCCATGAAGATAATGACTGTGTCCTCTTAATCATGAAGATAAAGACTGCGTTCCCCTTTTTACTGTTGAGCCCCCATGTCAAGTTCAGTGCTTTGAACACAGTGGGTGCGCAATATATACCCGGTAGATAAATGGATGGACTGCTGCAGAGGGTTGGTTTCAGAGGCTTGAAGCCTACACCATTTCCACCCCATGGCCTCCGTTGTTCAGCTGTTGTCTTCCATTCCTTCCTTCTCCTTGTCCCCCTCAGCGTCTATGTGCCCCTCACCATCATCACAGACAGCTGGATGTTCTCTAAAGGAGCCATCCCTGGACGGTGCGGCTGCATGGGGGCAGCTGGGGGCTTTTCTGCGATGAGGACAGCAGCGCAGGACCCACTTGCTGCAGCTACAGGGGCCCTGGGCTGCCCAGGCATAGGCGCCCACAGGCACTGCAAGCAGCACCACGCACAGGACCACTGTGACATGCAGGAGGCGCTCACGTGCTTCTAGCCCAACACCATCTCTGCCTGTTACAAAAACTACACACTGGCCCTGGTGTGGAGGCTGGCCCTCTAGACTGAGGCAGGCCTCATATTTTGTGCCAGGAAGGAGGTCATCCACAGCGTAAGTATTGATTCCGGGGCCAATGTGAACCACCTCCTTCCTGATGGCTTCATCCGATGCAATGTAGAGGGTGAACCACTCCTCCTCAGGGGTGTCAGCCACTGCAAGCCACTCCAGCAAAATCCCATGCACTGTCTGCTTGACAACCCGCAGGTCAATGTAGGCACTGCCCTCTGAGGGGATGGAAAGAGAATCAGGTGCAGGTAGGGCCTGGGCAGGCTGGACATGGAGAGAGATTACAAGGGCGCTCTTGCCGATGGAGTTGGAGGCCATGCAGGTGTAATTACCACTGTCTACCAGGTGGGCAGCAGGTATGGCCAGCTCCGACAAAGCAGTATCCTCTCCAGTAGAAGATGTCAGCACTGGGTGGAAAGAAAAGCAAAACAGCTGTGCATTTATCTGATAGACTGCCAGAAAGTGTCTAGCAATGCCAGTTGTTTTTTTTGTTCAAGAATGGTGGTAACCTCTTATGAACCTTGTACCTGGTGTCAGGTGTTTGATTCCCAACATAGGATGTTGAGGATTGGAGCAATTCATCAACTTTCCCACACTGAGAGTTGTTCAGAGCAACAATTGATGTGGAACCTGGCTCTTCTACCTATGAAGACCATACTCTTTCAACTTCACTGACTGCACCCACCAAACCACCTTGGCCTTGCTGAGCCATGGGTTTCAGGAGAGTTCCTGCAACTACGTGATTGTGTGATATTATGAGCTTCAAGAAGTGCCTTTTTTTTTTTTTTTTTTTTTTTTTTTTTTTTTTTTTTTTTTTTTTTTTTTTTTTTTTTTTTTTTTTTTCCTTCTGTTGCCCAGGCTAGAGTGCAGTGGCGTGATCTTGGCTCACTGCGGCCTCCATCTCCCGGATTCAAGCAATTCTTCTGCCTCAGCCTCCCAAGTAACTGGGACTACAGGTGTGCACCGCCACACCCAACTAATTTTTGTATTTTTTAGTAGAGATGGGGTTTCACCATGTTGGCTAGGATGGTCTTGATCTCCTGACCTCGTGCTCCACCCGCCTCAGCCTCCCAAAGTGCTGGGATTACAGGTGTGAGCCACCTTCTTACCTTGCAGATGTACAGTGCCTCAGAGCCTGGAGCCACATGCCTGGGCTCCTGTCCCTAATAGAGCTCCTATCCTATGTGGTCCTCAGCAAGTTGCTTACATTCTCTTGGCATCAATTTTCTTGTCAATTAAATGAAATGATAAGCAATCACCTACCTCATTAATTTGAAAGTAAGTGTTCCGTAAGTCTTAGTTTATATTTTTCTGAGAGATTGTATATAACACAGTGCCAAAGAGTGATTATAGAGCATCACAAAAGACAATACCTGAATGCATTTCTTGGTTTTCAAAGAGGCTACAACAATAAATCCTATATTTTTCTTTCATCACTATTGAACTTCAAACCAATATGACCAAAACAATAGAAAATGTGAAAATTCAGGTAATTGGGTATTTTTAAAACCATCCAGAGGTTTGTCATCATGTATAACCAATATCTGCACAAATGACTATGTTTCCCAAATTTTACCCAGTGATTCCTAGTTGTCCTCTAGACAGAGCACAGAAGACAGGATATGAGGACTCTACAAAGATTTTTCTTTTCAGCTTCTAGATAACCCCAGGGAGGCCATCCCCAGCTTTGTGGTATGCCCAGCCCTACAGAGTAGCATTAAAGGTGATCCCAGCTGAGGTATGAAAACAGAGCACAGAGTTCCAGGAAAGAAGAGGCAGATCTGAATTCCAGTCCCAGTGCCCATAGAGGTCACTTCTTTTCCCTGGGTCCCAGTATTACAACTTCAAGTCAATAAGGTCTGAACAATCTTATGTCGATGTTATTTCAAACAAGTACCCCAGGTGATTTTGTTTAAGGCAAGTTTAGGAAATAAGCAATAGATCATCTCTAGAATCAATCCTAGTCAAAATTTCTAGAATTCTAAAATACGTACCCAGAGTTTTGCATCTAGAAAACTCCCAAAGACTATTGCTTGTATACAACTTTATAATATTTACATAAGATATTAAATCAGCCCTGAAATATGTATTTATATGTGTGCATATGTTCTAGAGAGATCTGTATGCAAACATTTAAAATAATTCTAATAGTGGAACACTACTTTGGAATATTTTCTGTTCTAGTGAGCATAATTCAGGGCTATCCCAATCGTACTTGCACCCATCCTTCGTGATTGACCCAGCTTTGAACTTCTCTAACGAGGATGGGATTACTACAGACTTCTCCATTCCCTCCAGATACACTGAGAGGGTACATGAGGCTTACCATCAAATTCTCTCCACATACTCAGGGGATAAGTCCATGCAATGGTTGGTGAGGGGCTGGCCTGTGTCAAGCATCGTAGGGTCACATTCTGTCCCACCCGAATGGTGACATTGGCACTGGGGGTTGAGATCTGTGGCTTCATGCAAGTACTAAGCTCAGTTTCATGAAAAAGCTGCCCTGCCTTGGAGAGAGGGCCCCGGCATATCAGGTAGGAATTCACCAGGATGACCGGGAGTGTAATGGACTTGACAAATTGGACAAGCCCCCTTAGGCGGCAGTCACATACCCAGGGGTTGTCATGCAGCGCCACCACCAGGCTGGAGATAATTTTGGCCCCACAGTCAGGCTGCCGGGGTTTCTGGTAGGCTGGCCAGTTCAGGAAGACACTCTTGGATACGACTGTAAGCCTATTGGAGGATAGGTCAAGGTAGGTCAGGTTGGCCAAGAACTGAAGAGCCAGCTCAGGAAGTGCATCAATCTTGTTGCGTTTGAGATCCAAGACCTTCAGGAAAGGGGTGGCCCGGAACGCTGTCCATGGTACTGAGCGGAGTTTGTTCCCCTCCAGTCTCAGCTCCCTCAGTCCTGGCAGGTGCTCCAGGGCTCCCAGGTGGATCACACTGACATTGTTAAAGTTGAGCCAAAGATATTCCAAGGTGCTCATGTTGACGAAAGACCCTTGGGGCAGCTCAAATAAGGGTGAGTTTTCAATTCTTACTTGCTTGAACTCTTCAGAAAGGTTCCCAGGGATCTTTCCCAAGGAGACAGATATGCACTGCAGAGTCCTGTACAAGAAACCAGAACAGCTTTAAGATAAACAACAGGGAACTGGAAAGTGGGTCAGGCTGATCCTGGCATTAGACATGTGAATCGGAATAAAAATATTATTTTTCATTGAAATAAAAGGGTTAGACTCATTTTGGTAAAAATGCACAGTTTAGCAAAGTTCAGCACCAACTGGAATGAGCCTCATAGAGATTTGCTGATTTCCTGCCAATTCTAAGCCTGCTTTCTCTCCACATCATCCCCAAAGAAAACCCATTCCCCATAACCCTCTGGCATCTGGCCAGCAGAGCGCACCTGCCAAAACTCTCCTCTGAGCAAGTGCATCCTGGCACACAGAAAGGCTGCGCTGCATTTGTATCCAGAAAGACCAGAACTAACAGGAAGTGGCGAAAAACTGAAGCCATATTTCTCTGTAAGAAAATACGTTGTGAGTTTTGAATAAGTATAGCCCTAGCTTCCGAGTGGCAAATCCTATTATTGGTAATCCATGGTGATGTAAGTTGCACAGCAGCAGGAAAGCCCCTGGGAGCTCTGAGGTCTGTTACAGCCCAGACCACAGGTTCAGTCAGGACACACAAAGTGGGACCAATGTCTCTTAGCTAGGGTCGTAAAATTCAACATATGTGTGATTCTTGAGTCTGAAAAGCAAACTCCAAGTCAGATGTCTAATTCCATACGGATTCTACATTTCTCAGTGTCTTAGAAAGAAGTCTGAGAAACAAGCAGGTAGTGCTATTCTCAGCACCATTGTTCAGGGGATTTGGCCAGAATCTATTTAATTCTTCATCACTCACAATTGATTCCTGAAGCCTAGAATTTCCAATCATTTTTTCGAAGTGAAAACAGGTGGTGAGTAACAAAGTAATTCTGTGTTCATTCCTGTCATTTTTTCTCTTTCCTACTGCATCATTACAGCTGCCTCTGCAGCTTGGATCACCAGTTTCAAACACAAGATTGTATTTTCTGATTAAACCAAAAGATTATTTACTTGGACTTCACAACCTTTCCTGAATCCTGTGTATTTCACATCATCAAAGTGAGCAACCTACATTTTAAAAAGAGATGCATACAATTTTACATGCTTGCTCTTTCACTCTTCATTTATTTCACAAATATTTATTGGTCATTTGCTTTAAGCTATACTCTTGCTTAATGAAAGGAATGGGGTCAAGGGCAACTGTTATAAACTCTGTCCCAAGGAGTTCTCCCTTGCTTTTGTTTCTGAGCCTTGAGATCTTTGGAATGTCATTTAATCTCTGTGAGTCTTCTCTGCATAGTGAGAATATTAGTAAATATCTCATAGTAATATTAGTAAATATCTCATAGTGTTTTCAGGAGTTTATTTTATATTATTTTCTAATTTTTGTATTTTTTCAGAGATGGGGTCTCACACTACTGCCCGGGCCTGTCTTGAACTTTTCAGCCTCTCAGGCAGCTGGGATTACAGGTGCAATACAGCCAATGCATCCGGCCTGTTTTTAGAACACTTTGAGATTATGTTAAATACAACACCTAGCACACAGTTGGTGCCCATTAATCCACCAACAAACTTTAAGATCTCAAAAGTCCACATCCCCTTGCCGGGCGCGGTGGCTCAAGCCTGTAATCCCAGCACTTTGGGAGGCCGAGGCGGGTGGATCACGAGGTCAAGAGATCGAGACCATCCTGGTCAACATGGTGAAACCC